CTGGTTTATTTGAGAGGTCATATAAATTTCCATTCGGGAAGTACACTCTGTTCTCAAATAATTTGTTAGCAATTGAACAAATACTAACGTAGTCATAAACGTTTAAATCAAATTCTTTCAATATGTCATTGCGGAACTTAACAAACCTTCTCTTAAAATTCTTACATCTTGTTTGCAATAAAATGTGCTATACTTTTCTAAGTCGAAGTGGTTCTCATCTATTCTGCAACCTTTGATGGAATCTATGTTTTTCATGAATGTATCTGCATCCCGGATAAACTTACATGCTTCAGAAATGACACCAGTTCTGTTGTCATTTGCTAACAAAAACACTGCTGTAGTAGTTATATGGAAATACTTTTTCGGTCCTGTTTGTAAGTTAAACATAGCAGGAAATAGTTAAGCTTCTTATTTATAACACTGTAAGAGTCTTTTATAATAATTGCCCTTCCTTTATATAAGCCAGTTATTTGCATTGTTCGTGAACCTTTAATGATGGGAGTTCCTTTCACTTCTGTCATGTGTCTTAAGATGAAGTTTATATCATAACTGAGGTTATGGAAATATATTAAACTCTTGTCAGGAAGTCGTTCCAAAAATTCTGTTGCACAGTTCTGACCCCAAATGCTTTCACTCACTGAACCATCTTCACTGTCGTAACATATGTTAAAAGCTTTATGAAAGCCATCGGTACTGCACTCAAAGTCAGCAAAGAAAACGTGCTCAGAATGAACTTGCACTTATTTTTATTTACTTCTTTTGACTCGGCTTTCTTCTTCAGTTGTACACAATACTTTGGAGCATATGACAATCTTTAAATGGTGCAAGGTTCTGTTTATATAAGTCAGTAGTATATGTGAAAAGTTCTCCATAAGAAATAGGTTCGAAATATTTGCACTCCCACAATGTTTTCATAACATCCCATAACGGTGTTGTTCTATCATAACGAACAATATTTATCTTCTCTCTTTGTATAAATCTTCATTTGTTTCTCAATGTTCATTCTACCACAAGCTTTGAGAATTTCTTTGTAATTTCTGACAAATATGTTGTCATTGGTAATCTTTCGTTTAGCATGTAGTGGTCTTCAACAAGAAGTAAGTCAATAGTTCTAACAGTTTCACATTCTTTTGTATGTATCTCTTTATTTCATTATGTCTTGAGTCATTGAAATAACCAATGGTAACAAATTAATAGCTATACCTGTTGCGTCAGAAATTTCTTGTACTTTACTTTGAGGAAAGTCTCTAACACGAATGACTTCTCTCATGTGGTCAATAGTCTCTCCATCTACTCCAGCCTGAATGCAAGCAAAACGAAACAATTGTCTTCTGTCATAAGTGCTGCAGTTCTTTTGTTCAATTCATTGAAGATTTGGTAGCGCTCAAGATTTATAGGTAATGTGCAAAGATACTTCCAGAACTGACCGCTTCTCTTCTTATAAAACTTCTTTTCACCATTATCTTTCCAAAAGCTTTCTATAAGTGCTGGGTTTCCTGTTTGCTTAAGAGCTTCCAAAATGGCTTTCTGGTCATTTGTCAGTGTGCTTTCATCTCTATATGGTCTCTTTTTTGGTTTGCCTTTCTTTACATCTGACATCGTTAAGCCTTCATATTCTGTTAAATCATACATCTTTATTTCGGTAAGATTCTTTATGTTTGTCAAGAAGAAGTCATAGTGCATTTCAACAATACCTGCAGCATTTGCTTCTTTCTCTGATATAAAGTTCTCCTTCAAGAGCTGATGTAGTAATGTTCCAATATTATTGAGGTTTAACGTAGAACATTCATACTTTCCACCAAGTTTATAACATACCATCCATCTCTGTTGTGAGTTTATTTTAATTTTCTCTAAGAGTCTCATGAAAACCTTACCGAAATGTTTGTGTAAGTAGTCTCTGTTTGGTTCATCTAAAGCTTCGATGTTAAAGTCAATGAGTCTATTGCCTGACTTCACATTTCTCTTCCTATTCTCTTCATCTTTCTTTAACCATCTCTCACCTTCTTTTGGTTTGTCGTCAATGGAACGAATGACATCGTTAGCTTTGCGAACTTGTTCTATGGCGCTCTTAAACATCTCTCTTCTCTGTTGTTTCAGTGTGTCGTCTCTTCTTCTTGTTTCACCAACGTTTGCATTTGTTATGTCAAACATTTCTCTTCTTACTTCATGAGGTACTGAACGTCTATGATATAAGTCAATAGCAACGTCATTTAAAGGAAATGCTCTTGCATGGACTTCGTCCTCGCCGCGTTGCGGCTTTATGAACTCATGAATTCTATCATAACTTATTGCACCATTATAGTCATTGAGGATGTCAGCGAGTGCTTTTTTGTTTGTTTCATAATGCTTTGCAACATCTATATTAGCTTCTGTAAGAAGTTGTTTTATTTCCGAGTGTTCTAACTTAGACAACTTCCGATACATCTTTAGTAGGAAATAAAAAAATATTTTTTGAAAAAATTAGATTAGATTTTTTTAAGTTATTTTTCAAAATAATTTAATATTTTTATTTTAATGAAACACATGCAAGATTGCAAGTTCTTTTCATACAATGCTCTCGCTACTGCCATCAAGAATGAGTTCAATGGTGCTTCAAATGTTAATGTTATCTTTAACAAGAAGTTTGTGAAAGAATCTAAGTTTGGTCAGTATGTCAGACCATTAGCTATCGTCATTGACCGCAAACGTTATACTTCACGAGAGTTAGCAGTAGTTTTGAAACAAAAGAGTTTCTTCATGAATGTCAAAGATACTCATTATACTGTCATAAAGAACTCTAATATTGACTTCTTCAGTATTGCTTTAAATCTTTCCGAACAGAAAGAATATAAGAAAGGTGAAACAAATGTGAAATATTATCCTTCATCTCTGAAGACAATAACGAACAAAGATGTTATACAGAAATTCTTACCAAAGGTTGAAGAAGCTTCTATTGACATTGACGAAGGAAGTGAAATGGTTGAAGAAATAGACCCTGAAGCTATTTAAGCAAAAATATATTTTTGGTTAGTCTTCATATCGATATTTTACAACAATTCCCCAATGTATAAACTTTTCATACGCTTTTCATAAGCTTTATATACCTTCAGAAATTTTGCATAATCTTTAGAAGCATTTAGATATTGTTTAAATGCTTTGTATGTCTTCAGAAATTTTGCATTATCTTTTACATGTTGTTCGTTCTCTTCTTCTGTCATGAGTTTCGAATATTCTAAATTCATGTTCTTTCATATGAGATAAAATTTTATAAAAAAATAAAATTAGCTTAGATTTTTTTATTCTTCCTCTTTGAAGTTATCGAAATATTCTGTTATTTTTTCCTTCAGTAATGTTAAGTCTTCTTTGAATGTAAGTATTGTGCAACCTTTGATGTCATAATGTGTTTGAGGAAGAGTATTTTTGACAATTTCCTTTATTTGCTCATTCGGTGTCATTGAAATCGGTAAGTTTTCGCGATAGAACCAATTTCTGTCAGATTTGTAAATCTTAGCAAGGTCGTAAAAGCTTTTGTTGTTTCTTCTGACTAAATGCAACATAACCATATCTTTATCTTCTTCATTTTCCATCTCTTCAGTATAAATCATATACTTATAGTTCTTTTCCTTTCCTTTTGGTACCGAACGTGGTATTCTTTTCTGAATGCTTTTGTCTTTTGCTTCAATGACTTCATCTTTTGCATGAAGTTTCTTTTCCATCTCTTCGCGTTCTTGTCTGTGAAGTTCGTCAAGAAGTTTACAAACATACCATGAATAGCGAGCTGAAGCCCATTGTGCCACATTATTTACGAGAAGTCTATGAACATAATATCCTCTCAAACCGTTTGGCAATTTTTCACGGTTTTCATAGAGTTTTGGCGACTGGGGTTTTTTACCTACTCGCTGTTCTTCACTGTTTTCAGAAAAAAGTATGTCTCGCTGTGCTTCGCTTAAGAGTTCAATGGTGCTTTGGTTCCTAAACCAGTCTTTAGGAAGCTTAGTATCTGGAGCATAACATGCTGTCAAAATACTTTGCATTTGGTACATATCGTCTTTGACTGAACGAATGAGACGGAGTTGTTTGTTAAACTGAACCCACTCATATTCTTCATTTATAGCTTCATGGACTATAACTGTTGTTGTGTTCTCTGTTGTTGACATATCTGTCTTTATATTCCGGATAAAAAAATAAATAAAAATAAAACTAACTTTATTTTTTCTATCTTAAGGAAATTCATGATTTTTGTGCTGAATTCAATAAAAATAATGTTTAGGTGAAGAGGTGAGATTTCACCTCTTTTTTCACCTCATTTCTACCCCAGTTATTTTATAAACGTTTCACATGGTAAACGTTATTTTTTAAATTTTGTGAAAACTCAACGGTTTGACACATGCCCTAAAATTATTTTACTCAGAATTTTGTTGCTGAATTCAATAAAAATATATTTTGGGTGAAGAGGTGAGATTTCACCTCTTTTTTCACCTAATTTTTCACCTCTTTTTTCACAAGCGTTTTACATGAATTGTACGATGTATATTTGAAATCCTAAACAATTTCGTAGCTTCTATTTCTTCGCTGAGGATATCAAAAGTTTTAACAATGCCGAAGGTTTCTTTATACTTCTTCTTGACATCAGATAATAGGAAATCGAGCAGTTGGATAGTTTTTGTTCAGAAATTCTAACATGTTCATTTTATTTCTACGGCTTCTCTGCTTCTTTCTTTAAGTCTGCATAGTCGTTTTCATACGTTCTATCTCTTTGACGGAGTAGTTATATTTCCTCATTGCTGCTTTACATTTTGAACATTGCGGATTCATTTTTGCGTTATACATTGAAATAAAACCAGCTAGAACAACTAAGGCGTCAATGGTTTTCTTTAACTCAAAAGCTGCTGGTTTTATCTCATTCCATACTTTACCTCTTCTATCTTTATCTCTTATCTGCCATACACATTTTGCAACTAATGAAACAAAGTTATCGTATGTCTTAAATTCTTCGGATTTGTAAAGGTCAAAATATTTTTATAAACCATGTCGCAATCTTTGTCCATAACTTTATGGTTGCAATGAAAACCAAGGAATTCATAATTTACTTTACGTATGAATTTCTTAATTTCTACTGAGTGAGTTGCTTTGACTTCAATTTCGTCGAATTCAGGAATAGTTAGTTTTTGCTGCTGAATTTCAGGTAGTTTAGGCAAATGGTCGATGAGGTCCTCCATTTCATAAAGATACTGTTCATTTGTTTCATCTTTCGCACTACAGTCTAAATTACTTGTTAAAAGTTCTTGCTTTATCTTCTGGATTTCTGTTTCAAAAGTATATGAAGAAGGAATAAAGCTTTTCATCTCTACCAACATTGACGTAGGATTCATGACTAGCGAGTTTGGTGCTGTAGTTGTTTGAATTGTTGTTGTGCCGATTGTTGAAATCATATCTTTTATACAAAATAAAAAAATAAATAAAAATAAAACTAACTTTATTTTTTCTATCTTAAGGAAATTCATGAAAATTCACGAGACCCAAAGGGTCTGAGCCGCTAAGCGGCGAGGGTGAAAAAACAGGTGAAAAAAGAGGTGAAATCTCACCTCTTCACCTCAATTATATTTTTGGTGAATTCAATAAAAATAAATGGTTCATTTACTCACAATATTTTTGTACAAAACGACCCCAAACTTTTAACTTCTTTTCTGCAGCTTCTAATGCTATCTTAGCGAGTTCATATTCTCTAAATTCTCTCTTTAAATCTTCTTGTTCCCATTGGTCTAGTTCGTATGGAGAATCTCTATAACCATAACATATCTCACGTTCATGTTCTAATTTTTTTTCGCACATTTTTCTAACTTCTTCTTCAAACAAATGTTTAGCATTTTCTACTGTATCTTCGAGTTCTTCTTCATCTAACTTCTCATGAACTTTCTTGTCTATGGAGTCCATAATATCTTTGACATAAAATGCATACTTTACAGAGCACCATTCAGCAACAAAATGAACGAGGTCAGGATGTATGTAAATACCTTTGAATTCATTTATAACACCCTTAGTAAGCTCATAAAATGCTTGTTTTGAGGTCGAGCCACTTTTGGCTCGACCGTATTCTTTCAACCAAAACTCAAGAATTTCCTGCATTTTAGCACTATTGAGAAATCTGTTTAAATGGTTTAACCTTCCCGCTTCTCTTGCCATCTTTGTTGCATTAATGTAACCATCCTTGTCTCTACGTAAGACTTCAATACCATTATAAGTGCCTTTTGTGAATGTTTCGCCATTAGATTTGTTCGTGAATGTTTTTGCTTCGACTGACATTTCTGTTCTTACATACAAAATAAAAAAAATAAATAAAAATAAAACTAACTTTATTTTTTCTATCTTAAGGAAATTCATGAAAATTCGTGAGGGTGAAAAACAGGTGAAAAAAGAGGTGAAATCTCACCTCTTCACCTAAACATTATTTTTGTCTGATTTCATCAGGAATTCCTGCATGAATTTTGTATAAAAAGCAACCGCCGGAATTCGGACTGTTGCTATATTCTTCACAAAATGCCTTATAATACTCTTCCCTAAAAATTATTTTGTCTGATTTACATCTAATGAAAAAGTTTAGAAGAATTATCTTATTCTTTCTGGTAAATGCTTTGTCTGATTTACATCTAATGAAAAAGTTTAGAAGAATTTTCTTATTCTTTCTGGCTTATTTTTATCCTTCCAGTACTCCCGCTCTAATGGTCCCAGATGAGTTGGTTTAGATTCTCTCAAGTTCTTAGATGGTATAACATCTTCAACGCCTCCTTCATATCTTACTTTATAAGTGTCATCGTTTATGTTATAGCCAAGTATTTCAATAACCACTCCTCGCTTTGCTTCGTCAATGGTTTCAGCAAGTTTGCCATTACTACTTTCAACTAATTTATGTCGAGGATAAAATGCAATGGAGTCGTCAGCAGCTTTTATAAGATATCCATTACCTTGCGTAGAGTCTACGATATAATAGTTTCAACTTAACCTTAAACGTTTCTTTGTCAACGGTTTGTCGTCAAGAACTACACGAACTTTTGTTCCAGGAATGAGGGTAAATTGTGTTGAATTTCTGATATTTTGTGTTTGACTTCGTTTCTTTTGTATATACTTTTCTTCTTGTTGTTGTGTCATTGAATTTGGTGTATGTCCTGTTGTAGAATGTGTTGAGGAATTATATACTTCGAGAAAATGTTTCATTGTTTCTTCGGTAAAGTCTCGCTCTTGGTTTAAATCTCTGAGCGTTCTTATGAAGCGGTTTATGATGCCGAGTATGTTATGGTTATGGTCTTCAGTAGTGTAGTGAGTTATGTTATGCTTAATGAGAAAATCTGTGATTTCATTGCTGAGGTATGCACTGTCTTGGTCTGATGTTAAAGTACTTGGGCTATGTTCTGCTACAAACTTTTGTAAAACTCTTAACACTTCACGAGTTCCTTTATTTTTCATTGGATATGCATATGCTTTACGAGTGTTAACATTAATGAAGATGAGGAATGGTTTATGTCCTCCTTTTCTGCTTTGAATGAGAGTGTCAAATTGGTATGCGTCAGGAGTGTTGGAGTAAATTGGTAAAAAGTAGTCGTAAGGGTTTATTTTTGTTTGATGTACAACATTTTTGTCAAAGAACCTTTTCACTTCAGCTCTGTTAGTAAATCCCCAACTCTTTGCAGCTTCATTGAACTTCTTAAATGACCTCCATGGATGTTGTTCGAATACTTCTTTCAAGCTCATTTATGTAAAGTTAAAGATTTTATTCTAGGCTCAAGCGCGTTCATTGAACGCGGTACCATGCGAATACAGTCACAAATGGTGGCATATAATCTGCACCCGAGCCTGTTGGATTTGTTGTGAAAGTATGGACATGATTTCCTCCCGGTTCAGTTTGTCGAAAAATCTTTTTTGCTGAATTGTTATAAGATGGAGATAAAACATCATAACCAGCTTCATAGTCTGAGTTGTATAATGGGTGGTCTCTTAATGAGTGGCTATGGTCGCCAGAAAAGTTTGTAGTTCCTGTATGAGTGTGCGGTGGAAGGTTTGCTTCTTTAATTTTCTTCGAACCTCCTGTTTGCTTTGAATATCTAGCACAGTATAAGAATTTATCTACATTCTGCTTCCACGTACCAAAACCTAAAACACTTGCTGGATTTGTTGAGTTCATTGACGTATAAATAGAGCCTATAGGATATAATGTTTGAAGTATTTCAGTCTTTAATGTTTGAAGCTCTGTTTTGTCTGCTTTCTTATCATATAAATCTTGAGCAGTGAATTTAACATTATTTTCATCATCCATAATATAAACATTTTTACAGCTAATTTCTTTCTTCGTTGTTATGTTTTCATTCGATGTTAAACCTTGTGGAAAGTTAGGAGGTTTATAATATAATGCATCTCCACCAGTTCCGCCAACCGTTCCTTCAATACTTTCTATAGCAACAGTTGAGAAGGAGTTATGTGTATGTTCTTTATCTGCTTTTTTATCTAACATTGCTGGTAGTTCATGTGTTTCAAAGTTTCTGACATGACCTTCGATATTCATCCATTTACTATTTAAGGAGTTTAGTGTATCTTTTACGCTTGTACTTGGATTCTCTAATGGTGCACTTGAACCAAGGGTATAGTTCAATATTATGTCGTCTGCTCTAACAGTAGTGAAGGATTCATGTGTATGGTTCTTGTCAGCTTTACTATTTAATGTAGCTTGAAGTTCATTTATATCGGAGATATTGTGTTTATGAGATTTCAAAACTTTGTTCGTTGCGTCAAGTTCATCTTTGTCAGCTTTACTTTTAATAGCATCTTCAAAAGTTATTTTTGCCTTAACTCTCAATGTAAATCTTGGTTCAACTAATACACCGTTAACAAAGAAGTATGAAGCATAAATTTCATCGTTATAACCAAATGCTTCTGGTGCTTTACCTGTGTCATACTGTACAGTACAGTGTATGTCATAACCTTTAGCACGAATGTATTTATATCTTCTTTCATTAACATCTTCAGTGCTTATTTGTTCATCCTGTGTTAAATATCCATGGTAGTCCGTTATAATCTGTTCGTCTGAACTTATATAATGAACATGGTTTTTATCTGCTTTTTCGGCTAATTTCTCTTCTATCTCATTTATTTCAAGTTCATGCCTACCACCACCTCCCGAAGAAGTATTTTTCTTCAGCTCTTGAAGAACGTCCACTTCGCCATCTTTGGTGTCAATAATGAGACTTTGTGTTAAAACCTTTCCTGTCTTAATGGATGTTTGTAAAACTTCTTCTTCACCGTGTTCGGGGTCATGGTCGTCATCATATCTTGTGAAATCAGAGATGTTGTCATACATTAAGCATATCTGTCTCAAAAGTTCTGCTATTTGAAACTGGAACGAAAGATATACAGAACTTTCATCATCTCCTAAAGTCAAGTCTGCTTTCTTAAGTATTTCTTGAATGTATGCAATGAGAACAGAGTACCTTGGAAAATATTCGAACAATATTTCATTAGCTGTTGGTTTTGGTGGTTCTTCTGGAGTTTCTGTTGTTTCAGTTCCTTCTGTAGGTTCTGTTGGAGTTTCTGCATCTCTTGACTTCAATGCTCTTGCTCTCAAAGACCTAAATGTTAGAGCACCAGGTTTTACAAAGGACTTTATAAATGCTTTAATAGTTCCTGGTAAGTTATTGTTAGCATTAAGTAAGTTCCTTATGCTTCCATCATGTACGTCCATAGCACTATGTAAAAAATCTATACTTTTCTTGTAGTCAGCAATAGACTGACTGTGATTTTTTAAAGATTTGTCAATACCTTTAAGCCAATCTTCATGCATGTCTGATACTGAGCCAAGAATATCATTTGCTTCCTTTAGTGTATTTTGTGCTTCTCGTAAAGTATCCAATCCCGTACGTGCATTGTTTGCTATACGTCTTACAGTATCTATTTGACTCCTTGTTTCTTGCATCCAACCAGATAAAGTTTTAATAGTATCAGAACCATTTGAAATGAAGTTCAAAGCATTTTTAACGTCATCTAAAACTTCTTCACCAAGTACTGCCCATATCTTTCCGATTTGGTATTGAAGAACTCCATATGAAGCAGCTGTTAAACCAGTATTTATAAGGTTCCATATCCATGATTTAGCAGTTTTTCCATCCTTTCCATCTTCACCATCCAAACCGTTTTTGCCTTGAGGTCCTTGTATTCCTTGTATTCCTTGTGGTCCTTGAGGTCCAATGTCACCCTTCTCTCCTTTCAGTTCATCTTTATGTTCGTTATAATATTCTAATGTCATAAGGTGTACATCATTACTGCTACCAGCAACGCCGAGAATTTGTTTCTCATTCATGACTAAATTCTTTAGGCATTTAATGTTGTCGTCAAATCGAAAGCTCTTTAACAATTCAATGAGAACATTCAGTACTTTCACTAATGAGGCATCTACTGTAGAATTTATATATTGCACCGTTCCATCATTTATGATGGGAACCTTGCTTGTTGTAATGAATGGGTCATAAGTGTTAAAAGTATCGAAATCAATGACTTTTTTAGTCTTTCCATCGTCAATGACTAAATCATTGCCTTCAATGGTTAAAGTTGAGTTTTCGTTTATTAGTTCATGTGCTCTTCTTGCTTCATTTGTTTCATACGCATATGCAGCAATAGTCATATTTTAATGAGAATAAAATGTTGTTCTATTTGCAAAGTACAGACCCAAACGAATACGGGACAGTAAAGCTACAAACAAACTTAGGTCTTCAGAATGAAGCGCTTGCTTTCAGAGTTGTTGACTTCAATACTATCGCAACTTTTGTCATAACAGATGAAACAGATTTCATAGAGATTGAAATAGATGACAAAAGAAGTGTTATAACATTTCCTAACAGAGCTGGGTATAGAATAGATAAAATTGCTGGAGTCATAAATACTCTCATAAATGAAGAAACTATTGACAACATAGATGTCGAACTCTCTTCTGAGGGAACATTGAAGTTCAGCAGCGAGAAAGAGTTTAAGATACCAAGAATGAGTCATAGAGTACAACTTCTTTTGGGTGCATACCATATGACATTTCCTTTGAAAAGTGTTGACAAAACGATTGAGATGAAATCTGTTCCATACGTATGTTATGGTAATTGTTTATACATTGAGTCTAAAATAGCTAATGTCACAGGCATTTCAGGAGTTAATAGTAAAGGTTCAGTAGAATATAAATCCTTCTGTTATGCAGTCAATTCAATGTTCATTCCAAACGTTCCTGTCATAGCAACTCATTTAGGTAAATGGGTTCGCATTAGTCCTCATAATTTGAAAGACATGCAATTCAGACTTGTTGACTTTCAAGGAGAGCCTGTAGAACTGAAGGCACCAGTGCGAATGACTGTTGAAGTTGACTTTTTAGAAAATATTAAATGCAACAGCTTACAAGAGAACTCAGAGCTAAAAATATAAAGTATGAATGTTATGTATTAGGTCATGAACTTTGGTTGTTGCTGTTTGATGAAACAAATGAATTAGTTATGTCAGTCAAGAGAACAGAAAAATATTGTGTTAGTGAAAACTGCACCAAGTCAATAAGATTAGGTTTGCATTATGAAGATGAGTTCGATACTGTTGAAGAAGTTTTGGATAGATATTACAAATTGCTAACTTGAAATTTTTTGACTGACGGCGCAAAGCGCCAAGACCGAAGGTCCTGACTGCTTTAATTTACTAAAACATATTTCAAACAAAGCTTATAGTCAGTAGATAGTTTTGTATACTCGTTCGAATATTTATCCTTAAACTCAACTCCTGTAGTTCCTGGTGTTTCAATGATGCGGATGTTACCTATTTTCATGAATAGTGGAGTTTGACCACAGCATTCGATTTCAGGGTCGAGATAGTCAATGACACATTGTTTCCCTGTTATTCGTGAGATAACATTTTCAAGGTCCTCCTTTGTTAGAATTATTTGGTTCTTGCTTATAAGATTTGTCAAAAGCTTCTTATCGTCTTTGAGTAAAATTGTTTGGTATAACTGAAGAAGGTAATGGTCTACGTTATCTGAAGGATTTGTTTGAACATTTGTGTAAGGATTGTCGTTGGCTTCTCTTGAAAGAATTTGGTCCAGTGGTGGATACTCTAACTTAACATCTGATGTAGCGTTAGCGTTTGAAGCTGAGTTTAAATTCACGGATTTCAGCTCTGGTTCTTTTTCTTTCAAACACTCTGAACTATAGTTCTTTATGACAATATTGTTTGTCGTTCGTGAGTCAACATTTGATGTTGGTTCAATTGGAACATTAACGGCACCAGCTAAGATGGATTTGCTTCTCATTTCATATAGAATAAAAACCTTTTATATGTATGAAATGAACAATATACTCGACAAGGGTTTGAATGTAAAGCTAACGAATGAAGATATTGTTGAATTCACTGAGACAGGTGCTGTGTATAAAGATGTAGAACTACTGAACAAAAGAGCAAAGGGAAGAAGCAGGAACATGAACAAAGGGTGGAAGCCTATAAAAATTTATGTCAATGATGGCTCAGGAGGTTCAAACATAAAGTATGCAGAAAGTTATAGAGTTTATGCGCTAAAAGGTGAGAAGCCTTCATTTAAGAACAGCTATTCTAACACATATCCTCAAAAGCTAACGGATGGGGAAGTGGATGATATGAATGACAGCAAAAATATTAACAGAAATGGCGACAGAGATGCATGGAATTTGTTTACCATCAGTCAATTGAAGGTTAAGCTTTAAAATAATGTTGGTCGTTCCCATGGAATATTTTTGACTTTAATGGTATTAGTCATGATATGAATCTCAAGGTATGAACGAGGAGAGATGAGAAACTTATATGCTTCCCAAATTTCTTCAAAAGGTAATGTTATACCTGACTGTTTCCAAATGAGTTCAATATCATAACGTGAGAAACCTTGAAAGATAACGAAGTCAGTTATGAGACGTTTTATGTTTAAAGCTAAAAACCTCCATGTTTGCATAAGTATTGCTACAGTTAAATGGTAATGTCTGACTTTAGTAATGATGTTAGCTAATGGTGAGTCTGGTTTTGACACTAAACCTTTTCCGGCGAAGTCGTCACAAACTAATAAAGTGTTTGATGGATATTTTTTGAAGGGGTATTTTGAAAGTTTTGACAGAATGTAGTTTGTAAGTCGTTTCATATCGTAAACTCCTGAGTATTGACGTAAGTGGTGTTTGTCAATAATTCTTTCCATCTCCTCAGAAGTCTTTTGCATTCCTGACTGTATAAATTCAACGATGGCATAATATTTCCTCTTACGTCGAATGTAACGTTGAAGAAATTCAATGAGTTCACTGTCTGGAACTTTAACGACAGAGGCTTGAACTTTTGACATAAATGTTTTCGCTGTTGAATCCATAGAGTCTGAAGTTGCTGATATAATGATTTGGTCATAGTAAGAGTCGTTTCCTAAACGCTCTGTTATGAGTATATGACAAATGAGGTTAAATGTCTTACCTGAACCCATCTTTCCACAATAGAAATAAACACCATTTGAACAGAACTCATAGTCCTTACTGAAAGGAAGAATGAGAGAAGAGTTAAGTTTATCTGTAGTTTCATTCATGTCTTCATCTACGTCATGTATTAAATGCTTCATTTTATCTCCATTAAAAATGCAAGTCAGAAATATTCAGAACATAGCACCGAGTCTAACTGACAAGAGTATAAAGATATACTATGAACACGTTATGATGAAACCAACCAAAATTCAAGAAAGTCAGTATACTTATGAATATCCAAGACACTGGGTAGAGTATGTAGGAGGTGAGAAAGCTATTGAAATCAGACAAGTTAGAAGTATTCCAGCAGGAAGAACAATATTATTGAAGAACTTTAATGTTTTGAGATATAATGATGAAACAAAGAAGCAAGATAGTTTCCCTGTTGCTGTGTATGTGAACCTAGACACAGGAGATGACATGAAAGTTTTTAATACAAAGCTTCAAACGGTAGTGAGAGAACAACTGACTGCGGAAGGACATCCATTACCTTCAGAAGTTACCATAGCATATAATTTTGAAACAAACTCAATAGATTTTAAAGTCATCTCTGCAAAGAAGTCAGGTTTTACATTTAATGAAGCAGATGTATATTCGAATGAAAACTTCAAAGCTATTGCATGGTTAGATAATGACGATTGCTTTAAGAAAATATTTAAATTCAGTGACTCAAAGATGTCAATAGATGACCTTCGTGGAATGTTACCATCGACGTTTACAGTAGAAGGTTCAGCAGGATTGCTTACAAGATTGTCAATTGGTGGTATTTGGTCTCGTGAGAACATTGTTATAAAATCCAGTATAAGTGAATTTGCTGAAGAATCTATATTATGTCTTTCAAACTACATGTATTCGCCGCCGAAGCATTATAGTATAACAAACTTTGTCAGTAAGTTTAACATAAGACTTGTCGAACCTTCTTCAATGAAAGATGTTGTGCTACCCAAAGACGGAAAGGATGGACTCATTATTGAGATGATTTTAATAGCATATTAAATGAGCTTGTTCTTGAAGGTCATTCATGATGAAATAACTGTTGTAGAAGATGTTAGCAATTGTTCAGACATTTTGAAGCGTATAGATGATATAAGAAATAAGTTAGATAGACCGCAAAGCGGTGAGGGCGAAGCCCGTGAGAACGCTTATGTTTCATTGACTTTCTCCAGTAACGAGAACTTTTATGAGATAATATTGAAGAGAGATGATTTTAATATGATGTAAATGGTAGCTTGGGCAGCTTTAGGCGCAATGGGAACAAAAGCATTAGCATTTGGAGCAAAAGCACTTGGAGCTTATGACACAGTAAATAAAATGAGTGGAGGAAGGGTTTCGAAGACATTAGATGCAAATAAAGGGAAGATTGGAGGCTGGGTTGCAAAGAAGTTAAGATTAAATAAAATAGGGCTCATAAATAAAGCATCCAATTTGGTTGCGACTGAGTCAGAAAATGCTTTAGGAAAGGACGATGAGTTTGCAAAACACGCAAAAGACTTTAATGACCAGATGAAAGGTGAAACAATGCATTTAAATAGATTCGATGGAACTAAAGAAAATGTTTCTTCTCCACCAGTAGTTCTTCCGTATGGTCCCTATGGAATGTATGGAAACCCTTACGAAAGACCATTTGACCCATTGACTGGTGGAAGTAACTGGTATCATTACGGACGAAGAAGAAAGACAGTCAAGTTGGAGACAGACGTGAAGAAAGCAACTAAAAAGAAACCAAGGAAGAGAGTTATAAAGCAATGAATTCAACAGGGTGAAAAAACAGGTGAAAAAAGAGGTGAGATCTCACCACTTCACCTAAATTTATTTTTGTGCTATGTTTTCATACGTGTGAGGGTGGTGATATCATTAATTTTTAAGTTTATTTTTTATTTTATTTTTATATAAATGACAGAACAAAAGCAACTCATACAAATCGAAAAATATAACAAACATACATTTAAACATTTATTCTTCCTTCCTGAGTATAACATGTTCTTTACACTTCATCCTAGACCAGTAGATTATACATTGACTGTGTATAAAGATTGTCATGGTAGTTTTATAAAAACTTATGATGATGAAGGTAAGTTAACAAGACTATGCATTTCAAAACTTGAGAAACTTTATGACTTCAAGTATGACTACAATAGGGTTAACACTGACGATGAAGATATAGAAGAAAATTTATGAGAACGTTTATTTTTTCATTAGTGAGTTCGTTAGTGAGGTGAAGTGGTTGGTGGTTTTGTAAATATTTAAGGTTAAGTTAGTTTTTGCGTTCATGTTGTAAAATATACGTTAGTGGTTTTGTAAAGTGTCAAATTCACATATAATGGGTAAGGAGGCTCGCAGTGCCACAGTACACTTGATAGGTGTATTAATTACCGCATGAAGATCTCCTAATTAATCCATTAACTGGAACAAATTACACGCCAAATCAAATGTATCAGCTGAAACCGAAATACACAAATGCAGATACAGAAAGGTTGTGGCAAATATGGGATACAGATACAGGCATGACCGCTGTTGACACATTCACAGCGTAATAATAAACATAATTTTTTAATTTCATTTTTAACAAGTTTTTTTAAATGTATGTAATGAATAATTCATTAGAATATGATAATGCACATTGTAACAGAATAGAACAATCACCAAATTTTTTTTTTGAAATTAAAAAATAAAAGTAAAAAGTAGAAAGTAATCTAACCAAAAAAGATATTTAAAAGAATTTTGGAAAAAACAGAATAAGGATAATGATATTATTTTAGATACACAATCGATGCACTGAAGAATAATCCGGTAAAATGATGATATAAAATTAGAGTATTTTACAAGTAGCTAAAAGAATAAAACTATAATATAAAATAAATGAAGTTTAATGAAACAATAAAGGTTAAATAAATAATAAAGATTTTTATTTTATATCAGTATTGAGAAGAAGTAACAGCTGACACTTGGTAGACAACTTCTTTATGTCTAGAAAATTCTATCTTGCCTTTTATTTTTTTCTCGCTGTGAAACGTATTCGGTCTTTTTTTTAAAAATCAATTTTTTGTTAGAGATAAGAGCTAAAACTCGGTAAACAACTTCTTTATGTCTAGAAAATTCTATCTTGCCTTTTATTTTTTTCTCGCTGTGAAACGTTTTCGGTCATTTTTTTAAAAATCAATTTTTTGTTAGAGATAAGAGCTAAAACTCGGTAAACAACTTCTTTATGTCTAGAAAATTCTATCTTGCCTTTTATTTTTTCTCGCTGTGAAACGTATTCGGTCATTTTTTTAAAAATTAATTTTTTGTTAGAGATAAGAGCTAAAACTCGGTAAACAACTCCCCCATGTCTAGCAAATTTAACATTCGTCTCCCATTTTTATATATTTGGTTTAGAATGTTCGAAAATGCGTAATATGGTCATGAATATTAATTGAAAAGAACCTTGAATTAATTCAATCTGATCTCACAAAATATTTTAAATTACAAACTTTGTAGTTTGAATAGATAATTAGTATTAAACTCAAATAACTAGTTTATTTTTGAATAAAAATTATTTGAATTTATTCAATTTTGTGAATTTTCCTTCAAAAATCAAGTTTAAATATCTTATTTGCCATATAATTATAAATACAATGAAACATATTCGAAATTGAAAAGAATGACTTTTTCTGTTCTTTCAATCATTCAATTTGAATTTTGCAATATTGGATTTCTCATTAAATAGCTATTAAAAACAACAAGCAATTTAACTTACATTCAAATTTATTTGTGTTATATTCAATCTTCTCAAAACTTATAATTTTCGGCTATAGCATGATTATATGCTATATAATATAATAAACCTATAATAGTATCATTCTTTCAATTATTTGAAGAGAAAACCGAAAAAATCTATTTTCGGTCTATAACAATAAACAATTTCGAACAAGTTTTCTCATTTTAAGGAGGAAATTGTTCCTTATGAGGTATACATCATAACTATATACCTCATAAGGAACAATTCCCTCTTGATATCCTGGATATTTTTGAATATATTTTTTTAATTAAAGTTCTCAAAAGTATTATCAAAAGTGATTTTTTAAAAATATCTCCAATTACTTAACTAATTAAAAGTATTATATTTTTAAAATTAAATAGTTTTTCAATTTTTTTGAAGGAATTGAGATACTTCCCACGACAATAAAATTGAGAGGTTTACATTATGACTGATCTTAGCATGCAACATAATTGCCTACTAAATCTGGTTTACAATTTCGTGTTCGAGTAGGGAAAAATTTATAGCACATTGAACCTTCAACTTAAATTTTTATGACATTTATTATTTCGTTTTTGAGTATGGATTTTTTATGACAGCTAGCAGAATAACATATCTTAGACTTTGATATAAAAAGTTTAGGAAATATTCAAAATTCAAAAAATCGCATCATAACATTCATTATTTCTTTACTTTTAATAATGTAAAAAATATCCGAACTTTTGAATGTACATTAAAATTCTGAATTGAAAGGGTTAATTGTTTGTTAATAAAGGATATTCAAACTTGTTAATATAACAGATACTGACTATTCTTCATTTTGAAAAAAAAAACAGGCCATTCAAAAATTGATGTCTGAAATATGCAACCTTATAATGATTCCTAGTTAATGCTGTACCTATGCATCACAAGATTTTAATGCAGATTTCAATAGAAATTAGCTTTTCGATGATAAATTTGAAATTTTACACAACAAGGTAATCATTTACTATATCTCAATTCTGTGAAAAATACTATAGAATCTTTTGTCTGGAATATTTCATTTGATAGCTGTCTTTAAAAGATATTGAACCAATTTTCGTTCAAATACAATGATATTTCATTAATATTACCAAAACCATTACGAAAACATCAGTGGCAATACCTCACTTTATATATGATTGACAATTTCCATTCAAATATAAAATTTCATATTAGCACAATTCATATTTTAATAGCAGATATAAAAAACTCCGATCATTATGTTGTTATCGAGATGATATTTCTACTTAATTATATCTCAAGTAGGAATTTTATAAATTTGATAAGTTATTAGAGTTTGAAGAATGCATATACCTGCCCAATTTGGTATTTTAAATTAGCTCACATATTACTCTCCATATTTTTGAGCGTGAATACGTTTTGAGTTCGTATTCCATTGAATAACCCATGATTTATTAGACATTCACGGAATACTTACCGAAAACCAGCATATGCTATGCGAAGTATCCTCATTGTTTCTCTATTTTTTTTATCCCCCAAAAATCGTGACGGTTATGACATTAATCGAATAATATGATTCATTTCTTCCTCCTTTTCAATCGTCAAGGCAAGGCCCGTCTTTCAAAGTGGTACGAGCCACAGACAAAGAAGTCAAAAGATAAAATCACACGTGAAGTTTCTAACGCAATTTTAAGCCGCCCAGCAAACTTTTGCACATTTATTGAATGGAGAGACAGAAAGCTTGTCTATAACAGATATGCATCTCTTTACTTCGTTATGTGCGTCGATGTTAATGACAACGAGTCTATGATGCTCGATGCAATCCACTTCTATGTCGAAACACTTGATGCTTTCTTCGGCAATGTTCGTGAAGTTGATGTTATTTTCGGCTTCCATTATGCATATATGCTTCTTGATGAAATTATTCTCGCTGGCGAGTTCGTTGAATCTTCTCGTGTTAACCCAATACAATCCCTTGTTGATCAACGTGAGGCTATTCTTGCAGAACCAGGAAAGGCCTTCGAACTTTAAAATAAATGCTTTTACTCTTTATTTCGAACAAATCAAAAAATTTGATATTACCTGTACACCAAGTTCATGGATTAAAAATCCAGTAATAAAATACACACAAGTTCATTTATTCCACAGATTTTTTGATGATTGAGATCTTTTTGAGAATATATTATCCTTATCATTCTCAATATTTGTTTTTCTTTAAGGGTGATCTACATAATTTGCAAACAATTGATTTGTCTATGGTGAATTCATATAGTTACTCTCATATCAAAAAGAATAATTAATTATTCATAAGAAACATTTTTATTAAACAACATCAGGATACATCTGGGAAAGCTTAATCTTCTCATTCTGATCTATTGGTAAAGTAGTAATCATATAATCACATAACTCTTTTGAGCGCCTCTTTGCGTTTTCTATTGATATTTCACCTCGGTGTATACTCAATGAGAGGGCATCAAGATTAGTTAAGAACACAGCAATATGATTTCTAAATTCAGCTTGATCCAGAACAAAATTATCATCAAATTTATCAATCTTAACGAAATAATCCGTTTCTACATTAGTATTAACACTACGCCATACAGATAATTCTTTATGCAAATCTCCAAGATTTGTTTGCATATTTTCTCTCGTTGATTCCAATTCTCTAATAGAAGATACACTTTCTTGTTGACGTTTTCGTTGAGATATTTTCCCTGAATTTCTAATCCAGCAATTAAAATCTTGGAAAAATTTCGAATGTGCATTTCTCATCTGATTTTTGATATCAGGATAGTTATAACTTAAAGCTTGAATGTAATAAGATGCAGTTTTCTTGACAAAATCGATAATTTGAGAATTTGCCGAGGGATTTTTTAAAATTTCTTCTACGTTCGGTTGTGACGGAGGTTGAGCCTGAGTTGTTTGTTTGTTACCGGCCGGTTTACTTGGTTTTGGTGAAAATCGAGAAATAGTTGAGTCATTACTCTTGCTTAAATCAGAAATTCTCGACGAAGGTGTTCTCGTATTGCTTCTTACTCTTTTTGTCGGAGAAGCAACAACCGGCGAACGACTGAAACTAAAAGATTGCATATTCTAAATTCAAATCTTCCGTTTTTTATTTTTCAAATTTCAGAATTTATCAGGGCAAGACATCTGCATTTTCATGCTCATTACATTTGCAATCCAATTTAGAATCATTTTAATATAATTTTACATTGCTTGATGCTAATTCAGTTTCAAATATTAAGTATGCCATAGAATTATAACATCTAACCATGAAGAAGTCAAATTGAATTGTATTGCATATAGATTCACACTATAACCAATGGAAAATTTCATTTTCAGAGAATATTTTTTTTATATTTTCTTTTTGTTTATTGAAATATGTCTTAAAAACAGATCTTTGAAGATAATAATAAGCTGTATTTTTAATCAAATACAAATTCACATATGAACAAACAAAATTAAATTTTTAATAAGTGATTACGTTGAGACATGTGATACCTTTTTTATGCCACTCGTAATGTGCAAGAAGAGCCTTTGTTTGAACATCCCAAACTCTTGCGCTCATGTCTGTTCCTGCTGTGCAGAGCATCTTTCCGTCTGGAGTGAAGGCAGCGTCCCAAACAAACTTCTTCATGTCTGAGCAAGTGAATTCTCCAGCGGATTTTCCGGTGGCTGCATCCCACATTCTGACTTGTGAGTCAGATGAAGTAGTTACAAGAAGTGTTTCGTCAGGAGAAAGAATAATTCTAAGCGGGATTTCTTTGTGAGCTTCGAACTTTTCGAATTCGGAAAATTCATATTGCTTATTTTCGTATTTGAGATTTAACATATGTACTTGACCGTCTTGAGTAGCGGCATATACTTTGGTACCATCTTTTGTGACAGCCATTGATCTTACAGGGCAAGTGGCGATTGAAATGAAAGCTAGACGATCACCCTTTACAATATCGTAGATTTCGATCTGACCTTTTTCATTGCAGACCACTACAGCTGTCTTTGTTGGTAAAAGAGCAATGGCATTGAGAGCAGATCCAGTTGAAATACTAAGTGTTGAACGGCTTGTTGTTTTGTTCCAAACTTTAATAGTTCTATCTTCACTGCATGTATAGAAGTTATTATCAGAGAAAACAGCATCAGTTACATTAGTCTGATGACCATTAAATTGTTGCAGTTTTGAGCCTTTAGGATCAACAACAATAATAAGTGGATTTGCACATATAGCAAACTTGCCATCATTTGTTGGAACGATTCTGTTAGCTTGCGAATTTCCAAATGCGTTGTAACTGTCATTATGCTGTGTAGCAATATTTCCTGGACCATTAAGCTGAGTAACTGAATAATGAAGATCATATGAAGCAACAACTAAAGAAACTTTTTGTTGAGTTGCCATTTTTCAAATTTTTGAAGAATGTCACTTTTTAACATATCTAAATGATATTTAGCAATTTCTACCTGATAGTTATCATATAGATTTGAATTAAAGCTTATATTTGGAAGTTGATGGCTTTCTTTTGATAATTATTTATTTGAAATTCAAAATTATGGATTTATTCTATGGAAAAGAAGTTTTAAAATTATCAGTTAGAAAAATCATAATTAGAAATTGAATGACATTTAAATTACATGTAAAATCATAAATATAATTTACAAATATTAAAAACTTTCGAAATCCTCATTATTGGCAAGTTGCTTTGCCAAATTTATAAGAGGAGAAATAAACTTAATAGGGCATGCAGTCTTAATAAATGGATGTTCGAGTAATTCTGCAGCAGTTGGACGTTTTTCTGGGTCTCTTTCTAGACATTTACTGAGGAAGTCCAGGAATTCAGGGCTTCTTTCCTTTTTATTTGATATCTCAGGAATTCCCTTGGAAACAATTAAAAATAAAGCTTTCATTGGAGGTTCAGAAACGTAAGGTGGTTCACCTTCTGCGAGTTCTCTACACAGAATTCCTAATGACCATATATCTACGCTATAATTATAAGGAGTTGCTTGAATTAATTCTGGAGCCATCCAATAAGGCGTTCCAACGATTGATCGGCGCTTGTCATTATGCTCCGATAACTGAACTGTATAGCCGAAATCAGCAATTTTGACATGTCCGTCTGATGTAAGTAATGCATTATCAGTTTTAATGTCCCTGTGTATTTTATTTTGCGAACGTAAGTATTTAAGAGCTAAAAGAATTTCTTTTGCGAAGAATGCAATGTGCGGTTCTTGACACTCGCAAAATGTTGCAATATTTGTAAGAGAACCGCCATCCATGAGTTCCATCAAGATCCATAGCTTATCGCCATCTCTGTATGCATCGTAGAACTCAATAATATGCGGATCGTGCATAGTTGACATTAATCTCGTTTCATCAATTAAAACCTTTTCTGTCTTATCGGTTAATAGCATTTCTTTGACGGCAATCAATTTTCCTTGAAATTCTGCGTGATAGACGGTACATGTAGAACCTTCATCAATTTTAGTTAAATCTTGTAAAAGAGGTAATGGATTTCCAATCTTAATAACGCTTTCTGCTGGTGGAAGTTCTTGTGATATATTTTCGGCAACTGGCAAAGGTAGATTTTCATTACCATTATTCAAAAAGTTGATGACATTAACGGCGTTCTCTGGGTTTTTAATAATATCTTGATGACTAATTCCACTAGCTTTAACAGCTCTTTCCAGTTCTGGAGGTAATCCGACAAATCCTTTTTCTTGATCAACTGTTACATGAAGGACGTGCTCTACATCGACAAGTCTTGAAATGCTGTGTCCATTTACAATACGTACCTGATTTGGTAAAACGGCAGGATCAAAATTTGAATCGTTAATAACTGTGCCAGCGGATTCTCTTGAAAATGCTGGAAGCATAGAGCGTGGAATGTTATGGTAAACTCTATTTGTATCTAGTGTAATGTGCACATGAAGTTTTGCATCAATGGGAAGCGAAATCACGTGCTCTTTCTGCTTCCTCCTCATTGAGAATGAAAAATTCTGAACAAAAAACCGTTTTTCATAGCTTGAAATATGAACTCTGAATAAGAGAATAATTTTTTAACAAGAAAAATTGAGATGTAAAAAATTTGAATTAACTTTTCGAGAGCGTTCTGTAATTGAAAGTACTCATACTCTTGCCATATAACTGGTTCGAATTTACGAATATTATCCATTTACATCTATCAGGATAAGAAAAGTGCCAAAATTTTTAAAATCGACATGGAAAGTTCATAAATAACAACAGTATAGATTTTATTACAATACACAAACAATAATTATGGTCAAATAATCAACCATTAAGTTGATTACTTGTTATATTCTGCCCCTAATGATCTGAAATGGCGCTTCAAAACTTCAACAGGTAAGGCTAGAACAGGGTCAATTTTAGGGAGGTCGAAGAATCCAAACAGTGATAATCCAGCACAACCAAAAAATGTATGATAAGGATCGGCATGATTGCCAGGACGATCAGCGATACCACCAGTATCAGGATCTTGCGCTGAGAGTATAAAATCTTTCAGAAATTCGGCATTGATACTATCTTTTTCACCTAATATTGATAATGGTGCGCCAGCCCACCATGAATAACAAACATCGGATTCTTTCTCAGGTCTGCCATTAAATCCACCATCTTTTGTTTGTCTCTCTGTTAAAAATAATCTTAGAGCCGTACAATCTACTTTTTCTAGTGCATTTGCTATTGAAAGTGCTGCTAATGATGTAAATACTTGGCCACAATGTGATTCGCAGTGCGGAAAACATCCGAAACCACCATCGGAATTTTGGCATGAAATTAGCCAGTTAACTGCTGAATCCAAATTGATTGCATCTAATTTATTAAAAAGCTTTAATATTGCAAGCGCACAAAATGTAAATTTCGTATCTACTTCATTCCATTGCCCATTTGTAAAAGATCCATCGGACTTTTGTAAACTCTGAATCCATTTAACTATAGGTTCTTGATCAATCAGGTCAAATCGATCGTAAAGGATTAAAGTTTGTATGACTGAAAGTGTATTATGTATATTTGGCTCTGAACCGATATTACCACCAAAGGCACCGTTTGCACATTTGCACTTCATCAAAAAATCTATTGCATCATCTTTATTTAGTTGATCTAAAGTACCAAGAAGATATAATGCGCTTGAAGCCCAGTAATAATTATTGGAACGCATTGAATATGTCATCCAATAAACAAGGGTTTCTCTATCTTTCATTAAGTTTAGTATAAAATTTGTATGCTTATCCTTATCTAGGCTTGACATGAATAATTATGAACAATTATGTTGAATAATAATCTTTCTGTACACAATATAATGCTACACTATCAATATTTTGCTTTAATAATAGAAATTTTATAATCTCAATTTCACAAACTTAATCTCCTGCTCGCTTTTAAAGCAAAATTTTCTGGATAGTGTAAATGACACCAAATTTTTACTTTTGTAAATCGACAACCTACAAGTGGACTGGAAACTCTTGAAGGTGAGACTGAAAATCAGAGAAAGGCAAGACTCTCTCATATAGTCGAAGAGAAGAGCAAAATGTCCCGGAAGAAGAATTTCTCAAGTACAGGGAGAACAATTTGAAGAAGCTTGAAGAAAAACTTCGTCATAAAGCGGAGAAACTCCTTAGTATATAAGAATAGAGAAGCCAACAGGTTAAGAAAGACAAGAAATATAGAGAATGACAAGAAAGACAAGAAGTCTCATTGCAAATGCGAATCCGATCAAGAGATTGAGATTCCTATTGATGAGTTCACCCTGTTAATTCATTTTTTCCAATTTTTACTGCACATTGAAGAGCTGTCATTCCATAAAGATATTTAAGCAAAAAGGCACAAATTTTCAAACTTTGTTAGTAATTATAATATGAAAACGCATATATTTCAAACTTTGTATACATGAAAACGCATATATTTCGTTTGAATTTTCGGAAAAAAATGAAGATTTGGAATAAATTATTTCGTTCATGTCTCTTTTAAATGTTTGCTTATATCAATTCTAATTTTTTAGACTACTGAATTCACACAATAACATTTTTATATTAACATTATAGATTCTAAAACTGTATTCAGCTCATTCTGACCAAAATGGAACTTTAGAGCATGTTAACAGTCAAAATATAATATCATATCAAATAGCTATTCTGATACAACCTAAACGGCAAACCCAAATTTTAGCTAAAAGTGACAGGGGAAAAAAACGTTTAGTATTAAAAAAAAAGACCGATGAGAGCTTCGTTCGAAATATAGAGGGAACTGAGAATGCGCAACCATTCTCAGGGAATATTGGATGCTATTCCCGTTCCCTCTGTATGGAAAATTGAGGTTTTCAAAGGGAGTTAAAATAATATCAAATTTATACTAATTTACTTCAAAATACAAAAGTATTTGACAGCTAAAATTAGTTACTTTAGCAAGCCTATCAATACCCTTTTACGATTATTGCTACTTTTTCGAAATAAAAGTAAAAACAAATTTATACTAATTTACTTCAAAATACAAAAGTATTTGACAGCTAAAATTAGTTACTTTAGCAAGCCTATCAATACCCTTTTACGATTATTGCTACTTTTTCGAAATAAAAGTAAAAACAAATTTATACTAATTTACTTCAAAATACAAAAGTATTTGACAGCTAAAATTAGTTACTTTAGCAAGCCTATCAATACCCTTTTACGATTATTGCTACTTTTTCGAAATAAAAGTAAAAACAAATTTATACTAATTTACTTCAAAATACAAAAGTATTTGACAGCTAAAATTAGTTACTTTAGCAAGCCTATCAATACCCTTTTACGATTATTGCTACTTTTTCGAAATAAAATAAATTTATTATCAAAAACCTTTTTTTCTTAGTAAAAATAAAAATGTTATTTTATATCAAGTTTTTATTCATAAATTTTTATAATGTTGTATAAATTTGAAGGTGGAAATCTGTAATAATTTTATCTTGAAAAGACTTGGCATTCTCAACAATGAATTGAGGGGTATTGCATCCAAATTCTGTAATTTGCGTGAGAATACTAAGCTTGATTTCCATTGGGATACTTAATTTCGAAAAATACTGGGTCATTCGTTTTTGAACCTTTGCTGCCTTGACAACTTTATCAAGTAGGTCATCTAAACCCAATTGAAGCGTATTTAAGTTTGCTGATGAGTTAACTATTAACGATTTAATTTTATCAGTGAGCATTATACATTTTTCTGTATCCAGTCTGATTGTAGACTTTTTTGGCTTTTTTTCAGATGGCAACGGATTTGGAATTTTGTCTCTGAGCCTTATATCTTGAGAAATTCTGTAATAAAATGAAGGAACGATAAAATCGATTAATTTCATCACAAATCGATCAAATCTCATGAAAATTGTTCCGCCAAAGTAGTAATATTTAATTTTTTTGTTAATCGATTCTGAAATGTTATTTGTGAGAGCTAAATTTTCATCTCTTTCAGCGGCTGTCCATCTTTCTTGGTTTGATATCCATTGATTTTGTATGTATTTTGAAAATTCTGGGAATTTTTCGGCTATTTCCAGAATTTTTTTGAACGTTGGTTCAATCCATTCTTTCTTGCCATTTCTGCCGTATGCAAGATAGTTCATTTTTGTATCTAATATCAATTTGTCTGAACTCTCAAATGCATAATCTTTCAAATTTTTTCTGTACGCCCTCATTACATGAACTGCACACCAATGAAGGATAACTTCTGGAAAAGAGTTGATAATCGCATTTTCGATTTCTTGTGCACAATCTGACATAAAATATTTTGGTTTTACTTTTGCCCAGTTAAAAAATGCCTTGAGACAGAATGCAATATTTTCTGAAGTGTTTGGATAAACGACAAATTGAAAAATTGGGAATGCATGTGTATTTGGAAATTTGGCTGATATCATGTAAAACAACATTTTAAATTCAAGTAATGAATGGGTTGCATCAATAAAATGCTCTTTCACAATTTTGATTATGTCCAGAAATTTGAAAGAAGCATAATAAAAGATTAATTTCTTTGGTTTGTTGTAATTATCGACATCGAAATAAATTAAATCTTTTGGTGACTCTTGTTCTTTGATACCCTTAAATAATTGAGTTGACTTGAATTGATTATCATCGTACTTTTGAATACCTTTGATCTTTTTATTTCCTTTTTCCTGAATTGTTTTCATTTGATCTGAAGATGCATTCAAAAAAGATGGCCTGTTAAGTGGATCATCCAGATCAAGTTTTTTGTCGCATTCAATTTGAGCCATTTTCGGATCACCCCCCTGTTTTATAAAATTAATAAGTACCCGACGATAGCATTGTGATAATGTGTGGTATTTCTTTGTCTCATCTTTGATTTGATTGTGATTATGTGTTCCATTATATTCTGTTAGGATATATTCTTCATCATCCTTTAGAAATGAGATACATGCTTCACATTTATCTGCACTGCACCTGAATTTTAATTTTGTTCCCCCTAAATTTGGATTTTTTTTTAATTGATATGGACAACCTGCATGGCATTCGTTATCAATGACAGCTTTCATAGCATCTATATAAGATAGCCTTTCTTTAAGTTCGCATGGTGCATCGATATGCATCAAAAAAATGAAATGAAATTTCAATATCAAAAAAAGCACAAAATTTGAAAAAATTCACAAATCTCGGTTTCTGAAAGAAAATGGCCTCTTAAACTTTGTGCATATATTCATCTATAAGACACATTGTATCCATATATTATTTAGCCAACACAACTTATCTGGTATCGAGAAAATTCAAAAAAAGCACAAAATTTGAAAATTGCTCGGTTCTACATTCAAAATAAATCTCATTAATTTTTACATACATATTAAGGTACTTATCTTCTACATATATAATCTTCATTAGATATATACATGATAAATAAAATTCATAAAACATTAAAAATCAAAAAATTAGATGAACCTTGGCAATTAAACTTTATTAAATAATAGTTGTTTGTAAATTATATTATATTATCATTTAATATTATTTTGATAATGAAGATTTTATTTTGCAATAATATAAACGAAATTTTTTACCTTATGAACTTTTGATGGAAATATGCAAATTTAAAATAATAAAGAAAGCCGCGAGCGAAGCGATCGGCTTAGTTCGAAGATTTTGATTCAAATCTTTGCTGATCTGTAATTCGCGGAAGCCGCGAGCGAATCGAGCGGCTTAGGTCTAAGATTTTGATTCAAATCTTTGCTTATATTCCTTAAATTCTTTATGAAACTCGCAACAGTTCCATAAAAAATTTTAAATTCTAAACTGTCGAAATTACCGATCGGTAATCACACCCGTGAAGGGTGTGTCACTTTTAGCTAAAATTACCCCTACTCCAACCTAAACAGGGATTTCTACCCAATAGATAAATTTTGGATAATTTTGCCATCAAAAAAAGGTTTTGATTCAGCTCAATAACCAAGTACTCCAGAGAATCAATAATTAGTAGTATATGTGGATGGGTTGTGTGACTTTTTTTGTAAACGTAAGAATTCATACAATATTGAACGATTTTGTATCATTTTTTTTGACATATGAAGTAAAAAATGTATGATTCTTACGGTTTTTATTCTTACGTTTTTGAATAAATCAAGATTTAAAAAATTGACTTCTTACGTAAAATTAAAACTAAGTTAAATTTATTTTTTTTATTTTTTATTTAATGATAAATGAGTATAACAACTAATTCATTGAAATCTTTAAAGTTCACTAATTCAGAATTAGAAAATATTTTAGAAAATTTTGGAGACGGTTCTTATCCAACATATATGCAGAATGTGAAAGAGTTTTCCAGATTGTTGAATGAATTTAAATATAACGGACCAATTACTAAAAAGGCTATAATGAGATATTTATATCCCAAAAAAGTTGAAAAACAGGAGAATATTCCTCTTTATGGTCCAGAGGACCTGGGCTCAGAGAGCCTTGAAACACCTCCTGAATATTTTGAAGAAAAAATTAAAACAAGATGAATATTATAACGATGAGATTGAGAAATTGGAACAATTAAGAAATGAAATAGATGAAAAAATTAAGGAATTGAGAAATGCTGAGAATGAAGTAGAGGGTTTAATGAATATCCCAGCTTCAGAATCAGAAGTTCAAAAATCACATGAGAAAGATATAAAAATTACTTTTTGGAATCTACTAAAAATTTATTAGATGGTGATATTGACGAAACACTTTCAGAAGAAGGCACAAAATTTATTCA